GGGGGGGGGGGGGGGAGTTTGCATGTGTTATAGTAAGTTTTGAAAATGTTTAAAGTGTAGAACCATGTCAAATATAAAGAAGAGGATTTGTAAGGCTTTTAAATAAAGAAATTTAATGGCTGCTGGAAGAAAGCCTCTCACCCTTTGCTCAGATTCAAATCTGATGCAGGTCAGTGTTAACTGAGAGATCTTTTAGGAAGAAAAAAATGGTGGTTTGATAGAGGTATGACAAGTTTTAGGCCTGAACAGAATGAATTCCCAGTTACGATGATGAAGCTGAAGTATGGCTTCTTTGTAGCTTGGCATGAAATTGCATATCCCTTAGAATAACAGCTCCCATAGTTTGAAGCTATTGTGCAGAGATTTTTAAAATAGGGGATGTGTGAATGATAGACTAGAGCAAGACCTTGCAAAAAAGGGATTGGTAACAGATGTTTCATCTTTTTTCCTTTTAAGAATGAGTAAGTTCTTCTTACAAACCATTCTTTCTCTTCCAGGCTGAAAATCTATTGCTAGATGCAGATATGAACATTAAAATAGCCGACTTTGGTTTTAGCAATGAGTTTACAGTCGGAAATAAACTGGACACCTTTTGTGGCAGCCCACCATATGCTGCTCCAGAGCTCTTTCAAGGGAAGAAATATGATGGACCTGAAGTAGATGTTTGGAGTTTAGGTGTTATTCTTTATACTCTTGTGAGTGGATCCCTTCCTTTTGATGGACAGAACTTAAAGGTGTGTTTTTGTAGGCATACTGGGCCTGTTTATCTAAAGTTTTAAGTGATTTTCTGCTTACAACTTACTGTCTCTTTCTCTTCTGTTACAAAGGAACTTAGAGAAAGAGTGCTAAGGGGAAAATACAGGATTCCTTTCTACATGTCCACAGACTGTGAAAACCTCCTCAAACGTTTCCTGGTGCTAAACCCAACAAAAAGAGGCACTCTAGAGGTAATGACACAAATAAGGTGCATCAGAAAGCTAGAAATCATACTTTGCAAACTGTATCTTTGAGTTGTAACTTACTATTGTCATACTGTTCCTGAGTAGTTTATTTGACATGGGTTCGGGGGGTGGGGTGTGAGTAAAGCATACAGCTTTTCTTTTAAATTTTGTTTATGGGGGTTACAAGAGACCTTACTCCACAGTTACTTTCAAAATGAGTGAGAGACTACAACTGCATATGTCATACAACTTATCCTGATGGTTACCTTGTGGATTTCTGCATTAATAGATGATCCACCAGCACATTTTCCACATTTTCAAATAGTAACTGGAAGTGTTGGCTGCTAGGTTATGATGTTGCCTTTTGTCTGCATTTTGTACTATCATGGAGGGAAAAGACCCAAACAGTACTGGCTTTCATGAACTTCCATAGTTGAGCCTGAACCTACTAGACTTGTCAGAGGTGTCACACTGCTCCTGGCCTGTGTTACAGGCTCTTAGCTTTCACTGTGTGCCAGAATACAGCTGATTGCAAAACAGCTTGGCTTGATGTGCATAGTTGAGTAGGTGCTGGGGCCTGTTCCGGAAAAGAAAAATTAGAAAAGGCCTTAGTGTTTGGTAGATAGGGGAGTTCTTTCAACAGCTCATTTTCTTTGCGGATAAGTGTACTGCACTAACAAACCACTTTCTTTTATAGCAAATTATGAAGGACAGGTGGATTAATGCAGGGCATGAGGAGGATGAACTTAAACCTTTTGTTGAACCAGAACTAGACATCTCGGACCAGAAAAGAATAGGTAATTGTGGATTTTTCAAAATATGATACTGTTTGCATGATGTGGGTGGTTTTGTTTTTTTCTTCCACCACTCTGTATTTGATTGCCATTTGGAAAAAGTAACTAATCTTTTAATATTGACATTTCATCAGGCTTCTCACACTTAATTGTTTTGTTTAATTCTTTAAACATGAATCTCTTTCTCTTGAACTTAAGCACTCAGCCAGCCTAAACATCAGAGTGTTTCTGTTACTTACAGGCTGTGTGTTTGTTTTTAGATATTATGGTAGGAATGGGATATTCTCAAGAAGAAATTCAAGAATCCCTTAGTAATATGAAGTATGATGAAATCACAGCTACATACCTACTGCTAGGAAGGAAATCGTCAGAGGTAAGTACCATTCTTACACATGCAGAGAAACAGAGGAATCAAAGTGTCCTTAGCAAAGTTAGAAGCAAAAATTAAGTCAGTAACTATAGGCATTGCATTCCTGCACAGAAGTCCATTACACCTAAAATCACACTATTCTAATTATCAGTGTCAACTGTCCAAATGGTACTGGGATTTCTTTTCCTCACTTTGCTCAGAGTCAGTAAACTCTAGCCTTTAAGCTCTCCAGAACTACCCTGCTTGCTCAGCAATTACTTCATCTGAAGGACTTTGTGTGCCAGTTACTGTCCTGTCTAGTCTAGGAGATCAAGTGTGAATGTGCCGGCTATAAATATTAAGAGAACCAAGGAGCAGAACCAATAAACCTAGAAAAGTTCTTGCATTGTAGATTACTTTTCCATATGATGTTGAGAGGGCTTGCCATCAGTAAACTGCTCTTGGTTCATCTTCTGGAGGAGTTGGTGTGGTGGCTTCTATGAAATGCATCCTCTCTTCCTTTTAAAATGCTAGATAACTCTCCGAGGAGAGAGTACTGGAAGTAGAGATGGATTTTCTGATTGCTCTTTGAGGAGGTGCAAATTCTGCTGAGTTTTACCTGAGGCAGTTGCACAACAATCTAAGAGAAGTTGGGACCTCTAATTTCCTTGCTGTCAGAAAGTTTCCTGTGTACCGGAGTCATCTTCCTTCTGCCTCCCCTGTTACTGCTCCCATAACATGATGGATGTTTAATTTGTTTTGCCTGAACTCCGTTTTTAATGTTCTCATTTGTGTTGTAGTTGGATGCAAGTGATTCAAGCTCCAGCAGCAATCTTTCACTTGCCAAAGTTAGGCCAAGTAGTGATCTTAATAATAGCACTGGACAATCTCCTCATCATAAAGTTCAGAGAAGCATATCTTCTAGCCAGAAACAGCGGCGGTACAGCGATCACGGTGAGCAATTCTCATTTTCAGTGTTGCAGAATCTAGTGACTTCCAGTTATTTCTTTGTTTCTGAATTTGTCTCCATCCCCCAAAGGTAAGGATGATAAAAGCAGTGTAGCTCACAGCATGGGGGTTAAATAATTTACTGAATAACTATTTTTTTAAAATTAGTTTTGTTATAAAGCCTTTAAAAACAGTGTCTCGAGAAATGCTGAATACACCAAATTAATTCTCTCATTCTGCTTTGTGTTATCCCTTGCATTCCTGACCATGCTGGGAAAGTCTTGTTACACAAATTGAAGAGAGTGTTGCAACCCCCTTTTTCATGAAAAGCACAGCACTCCTCCCCCATGCTCTTGTATGTCTGTTCAGCTTTTGTTTTCTTTTGACACTAGTAGGTCAGCTTGTGTCTAAAACTTGAAGAAATGTCAGTTTGCCAATATTTCTTGTTTCCTGTTTCCTGAGGGTAGTGTCACTTCATTGTCCTGCAGGAATTAAATTTCTAAAGAACAGTGTCTCATACAGACTTAGAACTCTTCTGCTTAATGAGTGTGCAAGATAGTAGCTGAAGGTTTTCTAGATAGCTTAAACATCTTCCTGCTCAGACACTGACTCATAAAAAGAGTCTCGGCTTAGGTCTGCTTTTAAATACCTGAAGTGCATTCAGAGGTTGCTTTTCTTGGGGAACTCTCCTGGGATAATGGTTACTGTGTTTTGTGATGCTTTTAAAGTAAATATATCTTATACATATATTTATATGTAATTTTATGCGTGTGCATATACATACACTTTTTGATTAATTTTTATTAAAACACTGACTACAGAGTTGATGTATCTTGATGTATCCCCTTCGGAGGAGGTGTAATTGAGACAGCAGAAAATACAATCCTGACTTCTCCACAGGCTTTTCCCCATGCGCAGGAAAATATTAAAGCAAGAGGGGGCTTGGGACTGTTGAAGGGGCTCTTCGTTCTCAGGTGTGCCAAAGCAGTTTTCTGTTCCTGGCACACCCGGGGAGGCTGGTGGCAAACTGCCGCTGCTTCTGGGCTGTTCCAGGAGCGTAGTCTGCTGGCCATTAGTCCACAGTTGTGTCACCAGGTTCCTGTCTCAGGAGCCTGTTTTGTTAGATAGAAATTGACTTGAACAGCATGTGCCAGCTTTGTGCTCAGGAAGGCTTGCCTGATTTGAGTCAGTTACTTGTTAAGTATCTTTAAGATGACTTTAAAGGGTTTTTCCTAGCAAGCCCAAACTGATGTCAGTGTTCAAAACACCAGAAATTTCCATGAAATTCATAATCCTTTCATGGAAATCAAGTAGTATCTTAACATGGAAAGGTTTTTGTTTTTCATAATATTTTATTGTTTTCTGAAATACACACATTTTGATCATTTAAATAATTACTTTTTTGCAACTCAATTTCCAGCCCAATTATTTTGATTCTCATGCATGAATACATTTCTGTTGTAGTGAAAAATAGCTACTGCACTTCTGAGAAGAAAAATACCGTTCCTGTTTCTTTTTGTTCATTTTTTAAGCTGGACCGTCCATCCCCTCAGTAGTGGCTTATCCCAAAAGAAGCCAGACTAGTACTACAGACAGTGACCTCAAAGAGGAAGGAATTCAGTCAAGAAAATCCAGCAGTAGTGCTGTTGCAGGAAGAGGAATTGCACCAGCTAGTCCAATGCTTGGAAATGCCAGCAATCCCAATAAGGCTGATATTCCTGAACGTAAGAAAAGTTCGGCTGTTCCTAGTGTAAGTAGAAACTCTTATTTATCAAAACTATGCAATGTTTTTCAGGGTTGGAAAAGTGTTAAATCTGTGATTTATCAGTGGTGCTAATTTCATTCATCAAGAGTAAATGTAGGTATCTCATACAGTTGCCTTTTTTCCCCTTCATCAGTCAGCTACTCAAGTTACCTTTTAATATTCCTGAAGTAGTAGGTATTAATAATTAGCACTAGTAGCTGTTCGTAAACAGACGAAATTTGGGTATTAAAATATCGTTTTTTTAAAAAAAAAAAAACAAACGCCTGAACTCGAAAGCTGTCCCCTGAAATTTCATATGACTTATTCCCATTATCACCAACTACTCATCTTTGGCCTCTGTACAGAAGAGCGAAATCTCTACTTTTATTGTCCTGTTCTGTAGTTTCATGTATATTAAGGAACCACCTAATCTTTGTTCTTAAACTGGCTATTCCAAGTCATAGTTATGTATATTAAGACTATCAAAGAAATGTAGCTCTAAAAATTGTTCAAAGGTGTTTTTCAATCTGTGTTTAAAAGCAGTATGCCTGGCTTTTGTCCTTGTGGGCTTCTCCCACCTGCACCTAAACCTCAACAACAAAAAACCCACACTAAGGTGCATAACTAGTGAATTTACAGGGTTGAACAGTAGGCAGTGTGCCAACAGAAAAGAAAATCCTTTGTTTGGTTTGGCTTTAAATTGTGTACTCTATGGTGCTTCCCTCTGAGGCAAAATTGGAAATCTCTTTTCACATAATAACTCCTGAGCCTTGTAACATTTAATTTCTAAAACTTCAGAATTTTGTATTGAAAAACTTCCTTCTTTTCAGAAGAAATAACTTTCCAGTTCTTTATTCAACTTGCAGTGGAGTGGTTTGTTTTGGTTTTTTTTTTTAAACTTACCCCACAAAGCTGTTGTATTTGGCCATATACTCAGCACCATTACTTACAATAAAGGAGAACAGAACTTCCTGAGCTCACAGCTGTCTGACAGTCTGAAGCAAAAGAAGTAAATAAGATTTGTTTTACCTTACTGGCTCTATATTGTCAGTTGTCTTGGTGAGTGATAGTGATATGTCTGGAGGATTTCAGCCAAAGAGATTCCTTGGAAAGACACATCTTCTACTGTAGCAGCTGTTTGTTACTCATAAATGTGAGCAAGAGCTCATGATTTTGGGGGACCCTTTTCTGATTTTTGTGGTCCCCTGCCCTTTTCATTGGTTTATGATCAATCCAGAACCTACTCAGATTTTTTGTCTTGTATGACAGTTCTTAGCTACTGAGTCTCAAAATGGTAGGATAATCAAATCAGTTTTGTCCTACATTGGACAGTATTGTGTAGTTCCTAATTCAGCTTTGCATTACAGTTACAACATACTTTACCTTTACTGTCTTTAGTATTTTGATCTGCTGTTGTACACCACTCCCAAATCCTGGGGATTTATTCCAGCTGTCTTAATTCAAATTTTGAACTACTGTAGCTGAAATAAAATATGAGCTCATAACCATAGGATACTTGTGTCTTCTGATTCAGTGTGCAACTGATCCAACTGATCTTTGACAAGCAGTGGTACATGGTGGTGAACATGGAATCAGACTTGTGATATCACTGTATATCTGTCTGTTGGGGATGGAGGGAAACACTGACTTCTTACACAATTCCTGGAACTGATCAGCATGCATCTAGAAGGAAAAAAAGGATGTTGGAGTTAGCATATTGTCCTGAAGCTGAAAAAAGTTTGAGATGGAGAGTTTGTGTTCTCATCGAGCACTCAATAATATGATGAGAAAATCACTGAAGAGAAAAATACTGTTTAAAAACAGTTAGTACTTTGACAGATACAGAGAAAGTAGTAGAACCGGTTCTTGCTGGAGACCCTTAGCCTGTCATGTACTGCTTTTATTAAATAACAAATCTTACAAGCAGCACTTAAGGATAAGAGTTGTACTTGTAGAGCAGATAGCTAAGTCTGGGGCTGGAGTAAGGGGCTCCAAGCTGTATTTGTGAAGTTGACAGTGTGTTTAAACTCTGGCAAACAAAATAGTTCTGCAAGCTGAACAAGTGCATGTCAAAAATCTTCAAGTTCACTGGGCAAATACCAAGTTAATAACGAAAACCTGCTACAGGGATTACATAGTTATCAGCAACTAATAACTCCTTGTTTTAATAACTCCTTGTTTATTACTCACAGCTTTGTATTTTTCCTCAGTGCTTGTAATAAGGTTGCCCCAGAGCCCTTAGTATAGCTTTAAGAAAACTGGAAGAGAATAGGTGGTGTATTTGGAAAGTCATTTAGGACCAAAAAATATACCAGTGCTCTTAAGTAAATAGATTGGTTCATTACTGTAACTCAGAAGCTGACTCTTTGAATGTTTTTAATCCGTCCTCACCTCAGTGTCTCTTAATGTGAAAATAGCCTGCCTAAGCAATGGACATGAGACTTGTCTAGGAAAAGAGGAGGACTCTACACCACAAATTCATGCTTTGTGCTGTGATTAGACCTCCTGTGTACGTTCAGAAGTTTCAACATGTGCTTTTGCAGTGTCAGCACCTCCTGCAAAGAGGGCACATGATGCCATGAGAATGGGCTTACACAGCTAACCCAGACCCTAAGTCCTGTTATTACATTAGGGAGTGTGGTGCCGTTGACACAAGTCTCAGGCTTCCTGTGCTGTGCATCTGTGCCATTCAGTCATGTCCACAGATTAATAGTGTGTAGATCGGCTGAATAAAAGTCATAGCCGAAGAACTTCCCTGATGAATTGTGAAAGGTCTTATGCTAAAAAGTGTAAAGGCCCTGATACCAAGACTGTATGCTTGCTGAAACTGAAATTTGAAAGCTTGTAATGCTTAAATCTCTTATGACCTCTCAAGTCTGAAGTCAGAAAAAAATGTATACTGATCCTTCTGTATTTGCATTCCAGAAAGAGCTGTGAAAGTACATCTTTAGAGTCCTCTGATTTCACATATGATTACTAAAACCTGTCCACTCCCAAACCTGAAAATGCATAGTCTTTAAAGTCTGATCTAGCACAGAGATTGCTGTCTTATCTTTCTAGATGTGCAGCATCGCAGTACGCTTTAATGTTACGTGAGGTCTTCTCAAGGGAAACAAATATTTAATGTTCTAAGGGAACAGGTGGGAAGAAAGAAACTACCCATTACTGTGTATATTTCCCACCAGGAAAACAGTTGGATATTCCAGGAACTCTTAATATGTTTGGGAACACAGAACAAAATGATATGCTAATACTGATATGCAACACTTCAATGTATCACTGTCTTGCAAGGGCTCCACAAAGTGTCTTGCACACCATGACCTCTCAAGAACGTGTAAACAAAACTTCACCTTAGGTGCAGAGTTTTTATTGCTAGCAAGTTTAGTAAAGACAGGGGAGTTTGCACATGGATAAACGTCAGAGGAAAGTTGATCAATCATTGAGGGCTTATTTAAAAAGGCAGATTTGAAGACAAGTGATGTGTAAGGAATAAAGTACAAGCAAGGGGCCAGAAGGACTTCTGCTGGTGCTTGGCACATGCCTATCCCTAAAAAATATTCAGGGAAGAATACTTGAGAATCCTTGAGACACCTACATACGTCTTATGATTTAATTAATATTTCTGCTAATCTAAAATACTCTTGACATTCTTTGTACTTTTTAACACCTGGAGGTTGCACAGTTCATTTTTTTTGTTTTTATTTGTATATTCACATGAAGATTTATAACAGGTCAGCAGTCTTTTAAACAGACAAGATGGTTTCATTGTTAAATTCGCAGCTCAGGGATTGTGTTGCTTGAGATTCCCTGTATAGCAAGTATTTTGCCTTAAAGCACTAGAGGAGCTTTTGCTGCTTATTGAGAACACTCCACTTTAACAGTTTTATTTCAGGTTTGGAAACAAAAAAGGTTTGGCTACTCTTCTTTTGTGCTTGAACTAGTTTTTCCTTTTTTTTTATCCTTCTTCCCATGGTTCTCTGCTGTGACCATTTATGTGAAACCTTTTCTTAATGCTATTTTAAAAATCCGCTGAATTTCCTTTGACTGTCATAGCAGTAATTCTTCAAAGAACTCCAAAAGGTTAGTTGAGCATGAAGTCCCCTGCCTGATTCTTAGTGGCCACCCTTATTCAACATGTGCTTATCCAGGTGCTGACCAGTCATTCCCTTACGCCAGTCTCCTCCAAGACTTTCCCCAGCAGTGACGTTTAACGTTAATAGCCTAGTTTGCTTCCTGCTTTGCCTCGTGATCCTTTTCTTTAAAGAAAATTTTTAAAGGTTTTTTTCCACTTTTCAACCATTTGCAGTTTCCTGTGTTATGTTCTTGGGGTGGGGAGAAAAAATACAAAGCTTGCCAGCTTTTACTACTTCTACAACCTGGGGGTGCATGTTTATCTGGACCACCATGCTTTTCCTACAATAATTGCATCTAACTTTTTATAATTCTGTTATCTGTGAATTACCTAGCTTCTCAGTCGTTCCTGGAAAATTGACCGCCAACTTGGGCATATCTCCACCCTCTTTCTCTGTAAAGACAGAGGCAAAGTAATTCTATTTCTTTTCTCCCCTCTAAAGTAAGATCTGTAGTTTAAGTTCCCCTGGTTCTCTTGTCCTCAATGTATTATGCTTGTATTTAAGTGTATATTTTTAAAAATGTCTTATTAAAATTCTCTGCAATTTGTCTCTTTGACTTACTCTTCCCTGTTTTAAAAACTCATCTAGTGGTTTATATTTTAATATTTAGAAGTCCATGTTTATGTTCCCACTGAATTTTACCATATTTGTTTCTTAAGTCTTTGCTTTCCTATGTTGTTTAAGGGTATGATTTTAACTTAAAGGAAAATTCTGCAATCTGCAAGTGGTAAAGTATTTCAAAAATAGGCTATAAAGACATAGGCTGACCATACGTAGCTGAATGCTATACATGCTGAGAATTTGTAATTCAGAACATTGGTAATTAAAAGCTTTAAGCAATATAAATTTTGAGTCATCAACTTGAAACACGAGAACAACTTGTTAGAATTATTTTTTTCTTCTTGCGTTATTCCTTAAAGATGCTGGAAGGTGTTTGTATATTGACTTAATGATTTACTCTAAGTTTTATAACTGTGTAGAACTAGCATGAAGTAAACCAGCCTTCAATTATATGTAGACTTAATTCTAGAAAAGCCTCTCGTAGGGAATAACAAGCCTGTGTTTTTTAATTGTAGAATAATACTGCCCCCGGAGCAATGACACGGCGCAACACATATGTTTGTAGTGAAAGAACCACTGCTGATAGGCATTCAGTGATACAAAATGGCAAGGAGAACAGGTATATGAAATGTCTTCCTATGGTGTTTGTCCCTTGTCTTCACATTTCCAAAAAGTTGTAATATAAAACTCAGTAATTTTCTAGTATAATTCTTAATGAAAGGTGAGTACAGATCTTTGATTATGGCGTACCTGTAAGTATGTTGGGTTTTTTTTCCTATACCAAATTAATGCAGTCTTTATACTTAGAATGTGAAAGGAAGTTCCCAATTTCTGGTTAAATATATCTCATATCTGTACAGCTTTCATCTTAAATCAGTTGTTAACTACTGTAGTCGAACAACATATGCTTGCAGAAGAGGCTTATTTAGTGTCAGACTACAAAGTCCATCTCTCTTTGGGCATTCTCTCTTTACATTTTACTCTGAACTGTACTTTGTTTGTATTATTTGGAATACTGTTTTCTCTACAGAGTCTTAGGGAGAAAGTAATTTTTTGTCTGAGCAAAGATGAAACACTGATAGGCCATTGTCTTGGACTGAAACATCCCTTCCCAGTATTTACAGAACTCATCTTGAGAAGGGAAGCACTGATACCTCCATATTCTGTGTGAAAACAGTCAGAAAAATAACAGGCTTCCTCTTGCTTTACTGAATGAAAACCTGACTGGAGCATGCAATGAAATTGAAGTTAACCAGCTCATGTGTTAGTACTGTAGGCACGCCTAGTGCCATCCTTCCCTGTGTACCAAAGACTGAGGAGAGCTGTGGAAAATGAATGTAATAGAGAATGTAGACATTAAGTACAGAGTAACACTTGTGAAGAATACCACCAAATTTTCTGGCTGGCTGAGGTTTTCTAAGTTCCAACCAACTGTTCTTCACAGAATTTTACTGGTCTCAAAAGCTGGTAATAATTAAGTAGTTGACTGTTGGCAGGAGAGCGCCCAGATAGCTAGTACTTAATAAAAATGCTTAAGCTTGGAGGAATGTGTACCTCTCTCCTAATCTTCCTAATTTTATCCGCCCCTTCTTAATTTTATGATAAATTGTAAAAGATAGGAAGAAAATAGTTTTCTTGTAGCTCGTGTTGAAGGTGGTGACAGATCTGCCATTTTTTGCACAAAATTTTTTCCTCTTCCTTTTGGCAGCTCATAAGGAAGAGTGGCAAAGTTGTGATGTTGAATGGAAAGTCTGTCTGTCCCTTGTTTGACTCCTGGAGCCTAGGGATAAAGAATATGATTTTGACCCTGTCTCTTCCTCCTAGCTTTCTACAAACTGAAAGTGATTAAGAAAAAAGTCAAGTATAAATTTGAAGAGTGCCAAAAGTCTAGCTGGCCAGCTGGGCCTGCAGTCAACTGTCTTGTGAAGTACAGCACAGCTATTTGGTACTGTCTCTTAGTGTGTCTGTCTCAGCCTTCATTGGTTAGTCCTTGTTAATGTTACCAAGTTTGTTTAGATTAAAGCTCACCATCCTTTCTTTGATTTGATATGTTGATAGTTTTTTTTCTTTCCAAAATCTCTTGCAAAAATGAATCTTTCTCTCCAAAATAGTTTTGATCAGATCTGATTACTTGATTTCTTGGTTTAATAACATTTTTGTTCATCTTTAAACTAATATCTTTGCAGTATCTCATCTACGATTATTACATATATTTAAAGTTATTAGATATTGTTTACTAGGAATGCTTGAGCTTCAGATGTCCTTTTAATTTAGGAGTAACTTTATATGCCTAAGGACCTGTCTTTTCAAGTTGATATTTTTTTTCCCCAGCTTCAAGTTTCTCAATAAACTGATGACTTTCTAGTTTGTCACGTGTGGACATTAAGCTCAAAGTTAATGTTGAGTAGTACTTGGTAACTATATTAATTGTATTTTATACCTATAATTGGTTATCCTTATATAGTTTACCTTTTATTGTCAATATGGTATCCAAACATCATTTGCTTATCCTGCAAACTTTAGTCTGATTTGGGTCACTTGAAATGTTTGAGCATTTATATTTTCACTATCAGGAAAAAAAAATCTTTATAGTTTTTATCACATATTTTTGATTACTACTTTTGTTATTTTTTATAGAGGATTAAAATGAGAGAAGATAATGAGAATGCATTGCCAGTTGTTCTGCAACTGGAAAATTCTCATTGTCTGAAAAGCTTCAACACTGTAAACTGCACATTCATTTTGGCACAGTTTCAGAATTTACTGTGATTTGGCACAGAATTCAGAATTTATGTCTGAATATATTTTGTTGCTGTAACTGAGCAAAGGCTTGACTAATCACATGAAATACAGGGACCTTTAATGCAGGCTACATCAACATGGCTATTGAGGAGAATGGCTCTTCAGAATGAATGCTGCCTGCCTTCAGATGTTTCTGTAGTATCTCTAATATTATTATACTCTGACCTTGCCAGAAAGTAACTCTAGAAACTTGTAATGGTTTTTCTTCTGTGAAGCAAGATCTGAAGTACAACCTCGGCTTTGTATAAATCCAAGGTTTTGTTAAAAATGCTTTACGTGCTTTTGAAGTGCCTTTTGGTGGCAAATGTTAAAGGCAGGAGTAATTATAAATTATTTATTACAGATTGGATTTTAGATTTTTCATAGCCAATCAGATACTGACTGTGACCCAGTGAAAACTTGAGAGATTTGCTTTAAAAGGCAAGATGCGTGCATTTAAATTCTCTATTCTCTCTGTAGAGAAAGTGTTAAAATGTTGATTGTTCTGCTTTTCTCGTGCACATTGAATTCTGAGAAGGCACTTTTTCTCATGGTATGGAAACTAAGAATTGATAGTCAGCTAGTGGACTTGATGTTGGAGAAAGTAGTCTTGAAGACCTCATGCAAGACTGGTAGAAGCAAAGAGTTTTTAAGTCCCATGTTCCTACTTTAACACATTGTGTGGCTGACACAGGCATTCTGCTGGAGATGGCTCTGGCTTTCCTCCAAAGCCTGAACATTAATTAACGCACTTGGGGACTCATGAAACACTCTTCATAATGATAGGCAATTGCTTTAAATCATTTGTGTTACAAATGATTTACAACAGCCTCAGATTTTTAATAAGCCTTGGCACTAATTGGTGAATGTTAGCTTGCTGTTTCTGTGTTCCCAGGCTAGTAATTCAAGGAAGCTGATTTCTAGCAAAGCTTCAGAGGAAGATACACAAATGCTGTAATATGTGCTCTGGTACCTTATTGATACCTTTAGCTGTCACATCTTTGGAAGCAGGTGACTGAATAAAACTTGGGTCTAATGTGTTGTAAAAATAGATTCTTTCTCCTTTATCTTTTGCAACACATTGAGAGGAAAGGAGCTAGAAGTGCTTGAGAGGTTAGTGACCAGTTATTTTGGGGTTGTTTGACTTGAAGGTATTGCTTTTGAGATGAATGTTCATTTCCTCATAATGTCTTTATGCCCTGGGGTAATGTAAAAGCTGGCTATGTTGCAGGCTTTGTTGTAGTAGTGCTTCTAGTTGGCATCCTGCTGGATTCTGCATTGTAAAGAGATGCATGTGTGTCTCCAGATGAAGGTTTCTAGATTCTGAAAAGTTCAAAACAAAGAGGTAGATTTTGCTAACTGTTTCATCCAGCAGTTATATCTGAGGTGTGAGGTGATTTCTACTAGTGCTTTGGGAGCTAAGCCTGAGGTGTGGGTCAGCTGATACTTGTAGCTGTGCTAGCATTCTCCTCTCCAAAGTCTGACATACCAGAATGAGATAACAGGACTTGAATTTCAGTATGTGTAACCATGAAGTAACTTGGAAGTGAACATTCAGTGTCATAAAATTGACACTGGGAAGTCCTGATTTCTTAACCTCGAACAATATTTCTGAATTACAATTGCCTTAATTTTAAAGCAAGCTTAAGATGAATGACATATGGTGTTGTAGCCTGAAAGGCCCAATAGATCTTGTGGCTTCTCATTTTTTTTCTCATCCTTATCATTACTAGATAATGTGAAGGCTGCAAAGAGTCTTTTGGCCCAGAGAAGGATAAAGATTTCATGCTCCTATTGTAACATATTACACAGCTGACAGCTTACTGGCCATTCTGCTAGGACAGCACTGTATACCTCCCTTCAAAGCCTGAATGGTAATTCGGAGAATTTAGGGTTTGTGTCCAAGCAGTATGAGATGCTCTTCAACAGCCATACCTCTTTCTTCAGAGAACACCAAGTGTTATTCATTGCCTCCTACATGTACAGGTTGATTAGTAGTAGCCTTTTTGTTTGGGCCTCTCTGGACTTGTTAAAGATCATGATGATGTTTTTGATTGTGCCTGTGTGAAATCCCTCAGTTATCAGATGTAGATGGAGATTGGACAGCTTGCCTGACTTACACTGATTTCTCTTTAACATTGATGCATTCTGAAAACATAGTATTTCACTGCAGTAATGGAGCTATCATCAGTCTTTCGGAAAGTGCAGTTTTTAATGCATTTTTTTTAATGTTAAGACCAATATGAGTTACATCAGTGCTTTATACTAGTGCTTTGGCACAGAACACTGGTTCAGTACATTCAGGTTCTGTACATGAAGGAGGGTATCCTGCAAACTAATGCTAATGGTAAGAGAATGATCACTTCATAGATGTCAAGTGCTATAGTGAGGAAACTTTTTAAGGGGAGTGTAGTGTAGTTACTGCTGTTTACGTAGAAGAGGGCTGTTAAGAGTTCGTGTTCTTTCATAAATCAGCTAATAGAAGGAAAAGTTTGCTTTTTTTCTATGCAGTAGTTTGTTGTTGGTCCATCATGCTCTTCTTTCTGCCTCTGCCTGAACCCAAACCCCCTCACAGCCTGACAGAAATGTTCGCTTACGCAGCTAGCCCTGCTTCAGTTTGTACTACATCCTTCTCCAGTGTTCGGCTGCGACATCAGAAGTCGATGTCCATGTCAGCCTCAGTGCACACGAAGATGATGTTGCCTCCAATAGACAATGGCGCAGATAACTTCAGGCCTATGTAAGAACCTGAAATCATTGTGAAACTAACTTATACCCACTGCTTCTTAACTTTGTGCTGTGGAATTTTAGTCCTAGATTGTTCTAGTACATATTGCCCACAAGATGTGTGTTTCCTCATTTTTTTTTTTTAGTCTTGTTTACATTTGTCTTGTGGTGTGTCAGGCTGTCTGTGACATAATCCTGCAGTAATGAACCTTAATTTTTTTCTTAGTGTTAGGAGTATTGGACATTCCCTATTGTCAAAGTCTGGGAGACTTTACCCGTGTATCCTGAAGGACTTCACTACTTGGAGTGGTTCGCTTGTAGAGAATTTTGTGTTGGATACTTTCAAATTAGCAAGATTTTCAAAGATATATATCTAGAACGTGGAGGGAGAGACTCTAAAGTTACCTATTGCTTCTCTTTCCTGGGAGGAAACCTTACTCATCTATTCTTTTATCAGTCTTCTCAGTGAAACATTGTATGCCTAGTTTATCTGGTGTTTTCCAGGATACTCCTGTTGCATTTTTCTGCCTATGTAGGTTTCTGTTTCGGCAGCCTTTTAATCCTAACTTCTTACAAGTTTTGATTCCATATGGTGCTGTAATAATGTTGATATTTCCAACCCCGGCCTATATAAAAGTGTGTGCTTATGCTTTACTGTAGAATGTAGTGTTTTGTGTTTCCTGCAGAACCTGTGGTAGTGCTTCTGTAAAGAAGTTCTAGCGTTGTTTTTTGTCTTCTGCTCTAGCACTATTCCCGATCAAAGAACTCCTGTTGCTTCAACTCACAGCATTAGCAGTGCAACCACACCTGATCGTATTCGTTTCCCCAGAGGAACGGCTAGTCGGAGCACTTTCCACGGCCAGCTCAGAGAGCGACGTACTGCTACCTACAATGGACCGCCAGCCTCCCCCAGTCTGTCCCATGAAGCAACACCACTCTCTCAGACTCGAACCAGGGGTTCCACTAATCTATTTACTAAACTAACTTCAAAACTCACAAGAAGGTAAGCCTCTTAAAATGGTAATGCAACATTTCCTCTTTATCAGGTAGTAAAAATACGTAGTACATTGCTTAGGTGGTTTTGTTCACATTCTCTGATTAATGGCTCAATAATTTCTGCATCTTAAAATGCACTGGCATATGATTTTTTTTTTTTATAGTTCTTTTTGGTTACAGAAGCCATTTGTTTTTAGCGCTAGAATCAAATGGGATAAAAAGTGAGACAGTTTGGTCTGTGCTATTTCTTCTGTGCTCTTCATCCTCATGTCTTGAGGTACAAATGCTGCAGAGCCGAAACATTTCAGCTCAGCTCAAAAGCTGCTCACTCTGACTGCATGGTCTGTCTGTAGGCGGCATAAACTAGGATCCCAGTCGTGATATTTAACGTAGCGTTAGAAGCTCAGGTTGTGTTTCCCAGTCACTTAGGCTATCGGTGTTTCCAGAATAATCTCGCTGACAACTCATGAATAGAAATATCACAGATTAAAGGATAGAGTCAGGAAACAAAGGCATCTTTTGGCAGTAGTGCTAGCATAGGTCATATTAAAATAATGGCAGTACTATGGTTTCAGTCTAGGCAGGAGTCTGGTCAAGCTGTGAAAAACTTACTCTTGTTTTGACCTTTAGTTCATATGCAGATTCTGGGTTTGGCATGAAGGTGTGTTGGTCTAGTCAAAGCCTAGTTTAAGCAGGTGTTGTTCCTGTCCTAATAGTCTTTATTCTAATTGGACTTCTAGTTTCAATCCATACATCATTTCAAGTAGTTCCTACAAACCCTAAAATTGAAAACCACCTATTTTCCTTTTGTATTTAAAACCTGTCAGTTCACATACCGCATACTTCAGACCACTCTGATATCCACAACTTGTGTTTGCAGAAGCGAGGGCTTGTTTATCTTCACCTTAAGATAATCTCCATGCTTTTGTACCCTCCTCATCATGTGAAATTTTTTGGAATATAAAATTCTGATCTTGGCCTGTTTGCTTTTTGTTTTAGGCTTATATCACATCAGCACCAAGCTGTTTCTTTCCAGTCTGTTCTGTGACTATACATGCCTCCCTCTCAGCATCCTCTTCATAGTCTCCCATTCCTACAAAATAATGCTAAGCCAAAGTCCAGTTTTTCATGACTAGCTGATTTCAATTTAGAGAGTAAATTTCTTTAAAAATGCAGAAGCTGTTTATGTGAAAAACAAAAATGTGACAGCCTAGCCTTTGGTAAATGTTTAACCCTGCTCAGCTCTCTGCAGCTAACACTTCCTTAAGAAATACTGTGCTGTATGGAATTCTTTTTTTCTTTTTTCTTCTTTTTTATGTTGAGAGCGAGTGATAAAATATTAGGGTTTTTTAAGGGTTAAGTCATCTGCTTTTTGTCAAGTGAAGGCTTAGTCAGACATATCCTTTTGGCACATCTTTCTTTCTGTACTTTTGTTTGTAATATCCTTACTTAATTTTCCATCTGACATTCCAAATGTGGACACTCAAACTGTGAACATGTAAGCTTTTCACTCAGTTGTTTAGGCAGCATTCAAACTTCTATCATTACCTCCGAGTTCCAACTTTTGCAGTGCAGTGTGGTTTTCTTGAAGTTTTTCCCCACTACTTTTGACAATAGTTTAAATTCCATCTGGACTTGATTAAGTAACAGGCAGTTGTAACACAATAGCACTGTTACAGATGGTTAAGTTTGCACTTGGGGAAGCTCTTATAGTTTTGTCTCTGTTATACTAGGTGCTGTACGAACTACTAAGGAGGTGGATAGTGCCATCAGAGGAGATGGTTATGTTTTTTGTCTTTAAATAAAAAAAACCCTTAAAAACTGTTAATCTAGCGCTTGCTATGGGGAATCAGATTCTTCTGGTTATGAACTACTTATGTTCTGGTGTAGGCAATTGTTACAGCTTCTGCCACTAAATTAACTAAATATTAAAGACTGTTTTTGACAGAACATGGCTGACATAATCTTATGAAGGAAGAAACCTAACAACATACTCAAGATCTAATTATAGTAAAATTAATAATTTTTGCTATTTGAAATAACATGAAGAAAATCCAAACATATTTTTATATGACCTTGCAGATCATGAGTTTTAAAGTGTTTTGACACCAGTATATATTTTAATTCACAATAACTACTGGTGGCATATTTCCCAGAAAATCAAGTTTACGAATAGTAGTGCTAAGAGTTTGACTCTTCAGACCCTAAGTCAACTGCCTAATCTCAGAATGTATTGAAGTGTAATTTCATTGTGCGTTTTAAATGAGATCTTTTTTGCATGTTTCACTCTAAATAGCTTTTTCAATTTATTTTGTACAAAACTTTTTGTTAATTATTATTTTGGCTTAATTTCTTTTAGAAACATGTCATTCAGGTTTATCAAAAGGTAGGATTTATTTATATTTAAACAAAAGTGGCTCCTGCAATTAACAACAGATTTGGCTTTCTAGCCTTGGTTTTCTGAAAACTAAACTTTCTGCTGAGAACTAAATACTTTCTTTCTTGAGAGGAAAGCATAGAATAAATCCATTAACTCATGATGATACTTAAGAATCTGTGGCACCTGTATAACAAGATGCTGAGCATGCCTTGTGAATTCCTCTTTCTTCGATAGAGTTGGTAGTACCAAAGTAATTCTGTTCTCTGTACTAATACACTTAGCATGCTTATGTTTGAAGAATGAGGTGTTTGATAACATTGATGAAAGTATAAACAAAACATAAGTTTACAAGCAAATAAAGGTAAGTGATGTTAAATTTACATTCTCTTATCCTTGTTTTATATTTTATTAAAAAATCAGTTTGAAGTGTTGTCTGTAGTTACAATAGAAACTGAACACAGCTGTGAATCTAACTGTTCTGTATGAAAGTTTGGATGAAGATGCAATGCCTGTATATTTATTTTAAAATGGGATGCTTTTGCTGAAGTGAATTGCAGCTGAAGTACAAATAGAGCACTTCAGTTATAAACAAAAAGTATAACATCTATGCAAATTTATTAACAAAAGGGAACAGCTCAGAAATCTGGTTCACATTTCAAGCCTAAAGGATTGAATTTAGTTTTACAGTTTGGGAATGAATCAAGCTGCTGTTTATCTTATTAATCCATTAGGTCTAATGGAAGTTGATTATACAATTTTAATCTGGAGGTAAATTTTCAATTAGAATTTTATAATACTTTGTTTAGTTTTATCATATCTTGGAGCTTCTTGAAGGGTGATACTTTCAATTCCCAACTTGTGATCAAAATAAGAAAATGGGGCCAAAAACCAGACATCTGTTTGAACTATCAAAATGCAAGGCTACGCATGCGACTGTCATTTGGAGTTTGTCAGACCAATTCAAGGAAATACTTAGATTAGGGGGACCTGAGATATGTAAATTGATGCCTAAATTTGGGTTTATTATGTACAGTCTGAGCCTAATGGTACCCTACCTGATTAAATGAGCAAATTCCATGCCATGGTAATAATAATCAGAGTACTTCCAAACACAACTATGTTTAGAACTGGTGTTGGTTGGGTTGGCTGACATTGTCACAGCTGACTTGAGAAAAGGAACATGCACCAACTGTTAAGGATAGAAACCATCCAACACAACGTACAGATGAAACTGAACAGTGGCAATAGTTTTAACCCATTGTACGTCATAAACTGTGAGGTACATGCTGCTTTGTAAGAGGGAGCTTTTGTCTCTCTGTAGTCATACTGCATTTGAAACAAAGGGTAGTGATTTGTGCCACCTCCACAACTGGATATATATGAGTTTGTTATCCTGCTGCTCTGAAGAAAGATAGAAGATGCTAATATGAATACAGTTTTAAACTAGGTAGTTGTTGTTCAAATTTGAGACTTGAAGGTAATTCTTAAATTTTTTAAAATTTTCTTTTGACTTGAGGCCAGAAATCTTATGCTGTTGTGGAAATAGCTGCTACTGCTTCCATGAATATGTCTTGAATAAGAGATTTGCAAAGTCTTACACCACCTACACAGGACCAGACTGTGCTTTTAAAATTCTGTTTTAAGTGTGCGTGGTGTCCCTCCATACCTGATCTGTGTGTAGGTACAAAATTAAATTGAAATCTTGGGAGTTTTGGCAATTTCTTCTTGCTTTATGTGCTGTGAGTCTTACCTAAGCTCACTGTCTTTGACACTGAAAAAACTACTGTAACCCAATAGTACGTGTATATATAGTACTGCAACATCATTCTAGGGAGCTGAACAAAAGTAGATAATCAGTTGCTGCTTTTTAAACTACCTCAGTACACAGAGGGATAAAATATCTCTTGTACCATGCACTGTCCTTGCCAGTCTGCCTATTGTGGAAGTCTAACTTTTTTCTGACAACAAAAATTACTTTCTATGTTCTGGATTTTATTGCAGCATCTTTTCTTCATTTCCATAAATTGATCTTATTTTACCATCTCTCACTTTTTGCTGTTTTTCTATATCTTATTAGATAGTTCTCTTTGTGTTTATTTGGATTTTTAACACAGAGTGTACAAAGATGTAAAGAACAGAATACACAGCATAACTCAGGACAGATGTATGGAAACATTCTTATTTTTGAAAGCCTTTCACAAACCGTGAAGGAGATGGTGTATAGGCATTGCATGACAAATGAGAACATAACTTTCCTATATATTTGTTCCATTCTCAAGACCAAGGAGTGTCTTGGTCCGTAAAATTAATTTATGTAAAAATACAAGCAAAAGCAGAAAATCTAGAGCATAAACTAGCAATTTGCAGTTCGTGCAGAAGCAAAGATTTTGTTAGCAATGAGGAGGCCTCAGGGCTGCATCTGACTTGCAGACCCACTGAAACAATACTGGCAGTACAGTAAGTGTCTGTTCCCAAAGCAGCAGTGCTGGTAGAACTGGACCATAATCGTGTCCTTCGTGAGGAGGGAGCATCTAGAGAGACGGGCAGAGCTCTCCAAAGCTTGGCATGATGGCTCATATTTGAGGGTGCACGTCACCGAATGCAGTTCCTCGTGCTAAATGAATGGAACACTGATGCATGGAAAAACTGAACAAAATATGGATTTTCTGAGAGGCTTCCATGGAAGACTTTATTATATCAAAGTGGCAGGTATTTTGTAAATAATGACCTTTCTTACATTTTGAGTACAGTGATTTGGAAACTGAAGAGGTTGAATTAATTTCAACCTAAAAGGGGTCTAAGAACCTCCTTAAGGGATTTTTCCTCCCAGACTTTTCTGGCTAGATTCCAGTAACAGTAAGATTATGTGTTGTTGGGGAGACTGGTTATGCTCCCATTCTCTACAGCCTTTGGCAAGTTTCAGAAAGAACCCCCAAAACTCCCCCCAAAACACCATAATCCATAAATTCTTGCAGTTCTTAAAGCTGCCATCATCCGCTTCATAGGAACACAGTAGGGTCTTTAAAGTTCAAGTACTTTCAATTTTTCAGTTGAGCAGTGTCTTCAAACTTTGTTGCTTGCTTTGCCCAGTAAAATGAGCCTTTCCCAGATCATGGATTTGTTCAGTTGGTGCACATGATGGTTTCTCTCTTCCCACCTACCCCTTCTCAGTCCTACTGAGTTGTAGGACTCAAAGGAAGAGTTCATGGACTGTATACTCAGACCTTAAAAATACTTTTCCACCTTCTCCTGTATTCACCATAGATAAAGTAGCACAAGATCTCATGAAAACAACTACCATTAAAAACCCACTTTGAAGTGCTAGAATTAGTTGAGGACTTGTCAGTTGTTTTCTTTTCATTATCTTCCTTAACCTTTTTGCTTGTGACAGCTGTTCATTAGTCAATTGCAAACATTTCCTAGCAGAGACCCCATCATGCCATGCTGCACAGTACCTCAGAGAGCAGGGTTCTGATCGCATGCTGTTGTGACAAGCACCTCGCAGCTGAGTGACTTACCGCTTTATTAATTGGATTTCTGTTGCAATGAATAGTGAATTTTGAACAAGGAGCAGGCCCAGTAGCTCCTTGTAGCTCCCAAGTGCTTGCCACCATGCTCCTCACGGTGCTAGAACAGGTCCTGTGCCCTCGTGACAGGGACTGCACAGAGTCATCTTACAAGCCTGTTTCCTCACTGCAACCCTCAAAAGGAAGGGAAGGAGGGAATTAAGCCTTGTAACACCCCACACACCCTTATATAAATACTGCTGTGCATCAGAAAATAAACTTATTGTCTTACATTCCTACGCCTAGACACTTGTCAACCAAACTGCTTTAATTTATGTAATTCAGTGAAGCCATGTACTAGCTCAGGGTAGTCTTGGTCAGAGCCTTATAAAGGCAGCTTCCCTGTGAGCAGAATTAATGCGGAGATGTTGAACCATGGTACTGCAATAATGGGAAGGTAGAGGAAGATGATTTTCCCCTTAATTGTGCTTGATACTGGGCTTTTTAAAAATGGTAATGATCAGTGATGTAGCTTTAAGCAATTCAAGAAGACATAAAACTTAAGCTTACTCATAGATGTGGAAGATGCGTCAGTGTGGGAATTAATAGGATGGAGTTACTACAGCTTGAGAAATCTTGAATTTACCTCTAAACTTTTGTTAAAATGTATATGCAACTTGTTCTTTTGCATTAAGGTGTCTGGTGTTGTTTAAACACCTAATACCTTAGATCTGATGTGCATGCAAACACACAGGGTGACCAGACTTGCCTGTAAATAGGGTATTTTTTTTGATATATTTTGTATTCCCATGTAAAACTTTTAAATATCATTAGCCTAAAAGTGATTGGGAGTTACTTCTCTTTTAGGAGGTATTTACTAAATAATATGGTAACTTCAATATGTAAGTTGTAACTTTAGTTTCAGATTTTTTGCTTTTAGAAGCTCAACTTTATTCAGTGAGTTAGTGTTCTACAGTATTAATATGTATAAATATACATTGTAAAAATTAGTTATGGTCTTTTTAAAAACTGTAGTTTATAGACTTCCATTTGGCTTGTCGATATGTTATTCTGAATTTGGTCTAACCGACGCAGTTCTTTACGTCTTTGTTGCTTTGTATTTTAACACACCTTTGGTATGATTGCAGTATCTTTTAGCAACTACTCAGATATTGTCTATTGTAGTGTAAGATTTGTCTTCTCTTTCCCACTTCCTTTTGCTTCTGCGTTCTTTTCAATGAGGCTCCCGACTGAATATGAGAGGAACGGGAGATTTGAGGGCTCAAGGTGAGGGTAAAATTTTTGTTTAAAATGTTACTACTTAGGTGAGTTTGAACCTTTCTCCCCTTGATTATGTGGCATAGTGGCTTCAGGCAGCAGCTTTTGTTTTGTGTAAGGCTTTGAAACTAAACATAGAAGCATTTCTGTCTGCAAAATGGCATTAAAGCACTGACTGACTTGGTTCTAAACTTTCATCTTACCTGTTGCCTTTTCCCTTGTGTGTTTTTTTGCATTTTAGTCGTTATAATTTGCTATTGTCTCGTAGATGTGTAGGTAAGTGGTCTCTACTGAGCCTACAAACATGTGGGATAACCACTGAAGGATGACAAGATGTTTTTTATCTCCAAAATCACAGATAGATAAACAGTATTTTTCATGTTATACTCTTATTCAAAAATCTACATATCAAAAAATACTGGAAATGATCAAACTTGTGCTGGTTCTGCCAACTGTTTTGAAGTAGAAAAAGCTTTCCAAAACAAAATGAGCCTTGAATCAAAGTTGGTGTTCCCACTGTCACCTTACAGCCTTACTAATTAAAACAAAATACTCTTTTTAATATGCTGAATTTTATAACATCTGGCAAATAATGTAGCTGGATTTGACAGCATAATCCTGTGGCTTTCAGGAGGCCTTTCTATTAGAAGATAAAACTATGAAATAGGTTGAGATTTTGTTTAGTTAGTTTTGAGATTGCTATCACTTTTTGTTTTAACTTTTTCATAATTGTCTGCTTAATGGTGGTAGAAGTAAAGCACTGTGTAACTAGAAATTCATTGCCAACTATTTTCAAGAAAAGCCTGACTTAATATTTGTAAATTGAACTTTGAAGCTCAACATGAGACCTAAACTGCATGGTTTGGGGTCAGTTAGGTTAGGTATTTTCAGAAAATATTTAAGCATGATGGTCAATATATTTAAGTCTTGTGTCCTGAGGACAAGTAAATTTAAAGAGCTGACTGACAGTGTGCAAATATTCATAAGACAAATCTGTTACATTTTCTCTTATTCTTATATAAAGACTTTCCTTATTCTTTAGCTGCATGACCACTGATTTTAACTGAAGTAGAAGAATTATTGCTAACTAGAAATTTCTGGAACATTTTTCTGTGTCCTGTATAACTTTATCCTTACCAAAGGAAAAGCTTTTTTTTAAATGCAAAAAAAAAAAAAAAAAAAAAAAAAAAAAAAAAAGTTTCAGACTTGGGAAATGCAGCCTCAGTATTTTGTGCTTTATCTCTTAAAACTGTGACAGTAACAGTAACCCTTTTATTCACAATCTTTACTAACAGTGTTGAGGTGGTGTCTAATAGTGACTTACAACTCCTTCCTCCATTTCAGCCTCAAAGGCATAGCTGCATAACTTGTACCAGCAAAAGATTTTGTCACTTTACCTCTATCAGTCATTGATATTAAAAAAAAAAATACTGGCCAACTTAGAAACAAAGTATTTCCTCCCTGTTGAAGGTAACCCCAGTAGCCTACAATGTGGTGGATCTCTAGCGATCATCTCAAACACCCACAGTGCAGAAAGGCCAGAGTGAAACCGAACCAGCCCAGAACCGGGTGGCACATGTTGGCCCTGGGGTAGTAGGTGGGTGACCCCTGTCAAGGTCTCCCAGTCCTGCTGCCCTTCCTCCTGCTGGCAGCTAACTACCATGGGACTCCATGGGCCCTCCCAGTGCTTGGTGTCCAACCTGCTGCACAGGAGGAGGTACGGAGGAACCCCCAGGACCTTTCTGCATGGGCTTATCCACCTTGTGTATGAGCAGGTAATTCCCATGGGCTGGCACTCCACGACCTGGCCTGAGAACACTTCTGTCACAAGTCGCCACTGTTTGAATGTTCCAGAAACTTCTAGCACGCAGCTGGTATCTCCAGCTGTCCACGTGGCCTGAGAATAAGGGTTTGAGCAGAACCTGCCTTAAAATCAAGTTGTAGGTGATGCATGTAGTTGTACCTCTGCAAGGTCATTTCCCTCATGCTCCTGACTCCAGTGACTTCCAGTTGTGTCACCTGTCGTACCATGCCTCCGTTTCAGCCCCAACCGCTAATGCTTCACCTTGACTGTGTGTTTGTACAGCAGCTAGGAAAGCGGGGTATTGCTCGCAGCCGGAGCCTCTAGATGCTGCTCTAATACTGGTAGTGTGTGTTGTGTGTTAGTTTGCTTCACTAACGTGAAAAGTGGAGAAGGTAGCTGGCCCTGCTAACTAATAAATTCCTGTTTTTCAGCCGCAATGTAGCTGTGGATCAGAAGGATGAGAACAAGGAAGCCAAGCCTCGGTCGCTGCGTTTTACCTGGAGCATGAAAACCACCAGCTCCATGGATCCCAATGACATGATGAGGGAAATACGAAAGGTCCTGGATGCCAATAATTGTGACTATGAACAAAGAGAGCGTTTCTTGCTTTTCTGTGTCCATGGAGATGGGCATGCGGAAAACCTTGTACAGTGGGAGATGGAGGTGTGTAAACTGCCAAGACTGTCCCTGAATGGAGTTCGCTTTAAGCGGATATCGGGAACATCCATAGCTTTTAAAAACATTGCTTCCAAAATTGCCAATGAGTTAAAGCTGTAACAAGAAAAATAGTTAAGTTGTAAATTAGTTAGCAATTTCAAGTGTTTTTGAGAATTCCAATGGAAATGTATAGAATAACATTTAGGCAATAACTTCTGCATCCTTCTGAATAGTGATATTAAAAAAAAAAAAAGCTGCTGAGCTGGGAGGGAGAGTTGGACTTTTTTATAAGTGCACTACAGCATTAAAGTTGCCTACTATGTAAAATATTACCCCTTCTGCTTTATTTCCATTGCTCCTAAGTCTTTGACAACAAATTGAAACACAGAATATATTCATTTAAATATGCCTCCTGTTTGTGTGGACGTGTGAATGTACAGTATGTGTGTATAATATATAAAGTATTATATGTAAACAATTCATTTACAACATCGAGCTGTACCAGTACCTCTTTTTGGGCTAATTTTGGTGCTAAAAATTGAAATGGCCAAGGAGGAAACACTTGAGTTAATATTTAAAGTAACTGAAGCGATAACCAGTAAACGCAGGTTTACAATTCACTGCTGTGTTAAGAAAAAAAAGTGTGTGAAGGGTTTGGATTTATGGTTGTGAACATTATTAGTCCTGTTTTCTAAGTAGATCTCATGAGATTATTAAAAATTCACTTTTACTGAGTAAGTCTTGCATTATATTTTGCCCACCTATTTATTATTTAAGTTTGAATCAAATCTTAAAATGTAGTTGATTTGTGCATTAAAATTTGGGTAAATGCTTCCATTCTTCTGCTTCTGCTAAGCTACTAAAAGTGTATCTTTGTCCTTTTGGCTTATGAGTATTGATTGCAGTTAAGAACATTTTTCTGTTGTTCCACCATTCCTCTACAGAATGAGGCAGTTTAAAAGGATGCGCTAAATGATGACTAGTGACTTCTTTCAGAGCAAGTTCTCCACCTTAGACTAGGTCAGTCTGATACAAAGCACAAAAGGACTCTCAAATAACGACCATATTTTGATGCAAGTCGCCATGTCTGAGTCGGTGCCATGTTGAGGTATTGCTGCACAGGTGGCAGTGCTGTCCCCTGCGTTCCGGGCGTGCACAGTATTGAAACCCAGAAGTGGGAATCAGATTGGCTACTGATCTCCATTTTAACATCCAGATTGCTAAACTACAGCCGCAGGCAGTAGCAGTTAAAACTTTTCCTTGCAGCTCTCTTCCAGTGTGCTTCCTCGTGGTTCTGGTTGTATTGCTTTTTATGGCTTTGTGCCATCTGTGTCTCTAGCTTCTGCAGAGGGAGTCCACTGTCACTCTTTTAACGTGCAGTGTGGAAACTTGCCCTTGGTGAACTCTCTGAGGGCCAGCTAGCTTTCTGTAGGACGTGAAGCTACTCTGGGATGATCCCTGCTTTTTAACCATCACTGTGGTGAGCCGGATTTGATTTTGCAAGCTAGAATGAAGAGATTCCTTCATGCTTTGTTTCCTACTGATACTCGGTTTATGTCATCAAGGACTTCTGTAGATAATACCCTGCATTATCTACGTTTTGTATTAATGTTTTATGGTTATATTTCAGAGAAGTACTCAAGCATGTACTTAACATGTGCTTTAAACTGGAGCCTAAATTTGCATTTTAAATTTGCAGTGAGCTAATAGTTACTCATAGTACACAGTTCAGATTCGACCCGAGGTGAAAATGCAAAATCCTTAATATTTTGCAAGTGAGTTCTTGTGATCTGTGGTCTATGAAGGCAGCAGACTTCCTCTCTCTTTCCCCCTAAGTCTTGTTATTGATTATGCTAGTTTAAAGGGTAATCATAGTTGTTAAATGTAGTAAATATTCCTGAATTTGCATTTTTTTCTCTGTATATTCTGTATCATGCCATGGCTTGAGAACTCCAGGTGCTACCAGAGTTCAGTTGGCTTTGTGCTCTGCCTGTGCTGCTCAGTATGGTTTTTTTCCATGAAAACTCCATTTTGTAATAGCAATAAGATATTTCAGGGCAGTCATTGTACTTTATCAGGTGAATGGTCACCTATCCTTTCACTTTCTACGTTTTAAGCACTCCTCCAAATGTATTTTTTTTCACCCGGCAGTGCACTTTGTTGTCTGAACTGAAAAAGTGTTCTGGTAAATGATGTAAATCTGTATTTGATGGAAGTTCCAAAAGGTTTCATATTAAATGTTTTCTGAAATACTCTCTTCCTACTTCACCTGTTAAGTATGTAATTGTTTCTAAGAAGTGCACCAGTATCATAATTTGGATATTTAAAGTTTGTATTTAAGTATTTTTCTTAAAGCATTCTCAACAGGTTCTTTCAGAGTAAATATGTGTTTGAGGTATTAAAGAAAATTTACTTAATGTAATAGGAAACAGATTAACAGCTTCCTTCCCAAATGCCTTGTAAAATTATCAAGTTGCAAGAATACATCCTTGTTTCTTTAGCATACTGCATGCTCACTGTTCAAGCCTCTAGGAGTTGCCTGGAAAGGAAAACTGCTTTCTTCAGATCTCCAAACCAAAGATGAACTTCTTCCCAAACACAGGCCTTGTACTTGTTCATATTCCTTGGGGATCTGTGTAGCTTTATCAGCACTGCTGCTGATATGACTCTACACAACTGCAGCTGTTTTTTCTCTCCTTAAGCGACAAGTTTTTAAAATAATTGGAGGTCAGTGTGTGGTGAGGAGGTAGCAGCAGGCCTAGGTGTTTTGAGATGTGCATCTAGCAACCAAGAAGTGGTTTTACATAATGGCATGACTTGTGTACTGGCATGTTTGGTCTGAATGGTGTGTTGGGGGGTGTTTGTAATGGGCTTGTGACTAAAGGTTTGCATCACTAAAACCCATGTCATCCAGCTCTAAAGATGTCTTTTGGTTACCAGGTCAGTCAGAGAAAAATTCTTAGGGTTTTGGTTGCAGGGGAGTTGACTGCCTTAAATGAAAGTGTTTAAAGATACATAAATTTTTTTAAAAAAATCTGAACACTGAGCGGGAGCAAACAAGTTCAGATGAACTTCTCATGCAAACCTTCCCTGTACTTAAGCTTTCTAAAACACTTCAGTCTGTGTGACGTCTGCAAGGTCTAAGGTCCTCAGCCACATTGAGAAGTAGAGGGGAGTAGGTTAGAGGAACAGCTAGTCCTGCTGGTCTGAGTGTTTTGTGTACTACTTTTATTCAAGCTACATCTGGTCCAATCTTTGTAGGTTCAAAGATTTTTAGTACAGATTTGGGCAAGGTTCACCTTTTTCTCTTGTATTACAGTGAAATTTCAAGATTAAATATAGTGAGGTGAGTAGTGAGGTATTGTATCTTACAGTTCTTAATTGCAGTGTTTGTTTGTCAAGATAAATTAGATTATTAAAAAATATATATCTGAAAATAGTATACACATGTTTATGTTAAAGAAATTAAGTTGGAGGTTCAGGAGTCCTTCTAGTCATATGGAAAGATTGTAGCAGATCTGGAATGTAAATGGAGATCTCCAGTTCAGTTTAAAGCTCAGATATACATGGGCCTGTTGGGATGATGTGTAGAGACTTTTAATCAGTCTTTCCCACAGCTGCTGTGTCATACACCTTGTCGTGGATTGCAATTTAATTAGGACTGCAGCCAACACAGAGAACCATTTTCTCTGTTAAGCCCTGGTCTGGAGCAGCAGTATGTACATAGCTGCTTTGAGTTAAAACCTGCTTGGTTGTGCTGATTTTGGTTCCTGAAGGGCTCGGGTACCTTGCTGGCTATGGGCAGAGACCATCTATGAACTAGTGGTGTTCTCTGTGTTTCAAGGGTGGAGTGGTTGGGTGTTTCTTGCTTTGCACTCTGATACCAGCCATCCAAGACCATGTCTTTTCTTAGTAATCTAAAGAGTTAAGTATTTAGAGAATCTCAGTACTAGCTGGTATTTCTCCTATTGGGGGGTGGGGTGGGGGGTGGTGTCATACTAGTGTAAAATTTTTGTTTTCTAATTCACATTGCAGATGTTTAGGAAATATTAAATACAGTTTTGGAAAGATGTAGTTTAACACTGTAGATTAACATTTCTTTTTAAACATACAGATTTGCAGTTTCCCATATTTCCAACTGTCAATCTCATTTCTGTAAGTTTTCGTAGAAAGGCCCTAGAGCTTTCCTATAAAGATAAGCTCATGTTACTACACATCACTGGTGCTGCCAATTAAACCCCTGATCTGATATTCTGATGAATTGTGGTTCTGAAAATTCTACCTTTGACTGAAATTTTTCCCTCCGGTAGCAGTGAGTTGCTTCATTGATTTCACCACTGACTATTACTCCATTGCTTCAGAGAAGAAACATCCACCAGGAAGGGGGGTAAGCTTTGGATAAAAGCTCAACCTAGTGCAACTAATAAGAATTTTTTTAAAGTTATACTCCTTCATACCAAGGGCCTGTCAGTGTCCTGCATTACAGAGGCAGTACATGCTTAGAGAAATCCAAGAAACACAGGACTGAGAAATTGTTCTCTGTGTGTGTACTTCTTTCTTCTGTCAAGAGCAGAAAAAAGCTAACCTTTAAACTTAATTGTGTAACTCGATGGTTTTCTGTTTTCACTGGTCTCTTCTCAGTGTACTACCAGGTACTGCCTCCAAGCCAAAGGGCTGGATAAAAAGAGCAAAATCCTGGAGGAGGAGACTCTTCACCCAGTGCTTCTGAAGTTGAAACAGTATGGTATTTGAAGCAAAAGAATGTGAAAGACCCTTAACTGGTCTTTTTTAACCTTCTAAGAATGTTTTAACTTTTGGTACAAACACTGGGCACTTGTTCCGGCAATAACTGAAAAAGAAGTTCTGTTAGTACCAACACTGAATCCCGTATCTGTGCTCAGCAGCCGTGTTCAGGGCATTAATTGCCAGTTGCTGGGAGATCACCACCTACAGGTGCCATTATCATCTTGTAGTGGTTGTGACTTAGCAGGTAAGATATTGGAGGTAAAAAAATGTTTTTGCTTGGTTTTTGCTTGTGTGTTGAGCACTTGGAACTGTGTGTTCTGACTCGGATGCAAAATTCATGCAGAGTGGCGATGGTTATGGTTGCTGTGGGAGCCATGGCATTGAATTTCAAGGCATAGAAATATTGTAGTTCTTATCCCATTAATACCCTTACGTTATCATTTAATAATATCCATATGAAATTCAGGGCATAAAACCAGAATATTCATACAGTTCATGTTTCTTTGTAGTTGCTGATCACGCTGAATGTATGAGGTGAATAAAATCGGATAATGAAATACCTCACCACAAAAATAATTTTATTAAAGCATACGGGGATGCAAAATCAGAAAGTAAAATGCTACTGGTGTTACAGTTGTGCGGTTTCAGTTATTTGCTTATCTTGAGGGAGAGTCCTGTTTGGTTGGAGGTGTCTCTTACCAAGACCTCAGCTTGGCTGAATGCTGTAATCAACTACAAAACAGCCAAGTCTTTCTAAGCACAGAATTATTTCCCCCACCCATCTTAACCCAGCCAAAAGACATTAAATTCTTTCACACATTTGTCCACATAGATGAGAAAAACACCAGCCTGATAGGAGCTTGGAGACACTTGAAAGCATGTGTTTTCATTGTCCTGTGTCTGCGGTGCCTGAAGGAGTGGGGCTGGTGGCATGGGATGCCTGCTTGGGATGGATGGATGGATGGATGGATGGATGGATGGATGGATGGATGGATGGATGGATGGATGGATGGATGGATGGATGATCCCTTCTGCAAGGAAAGGCGAGCTGTAGAGTGACGTTGCAGTGTCTGTAGTGGCCACAGGATGTCTCTCAAATGCAGAAACAGCCTCTGGTTGGTGTTCATCTGAGGTATTTTTAGAAAAGAGCTCCAAGAATCCCTTGCTCCATGCAGAGCGGCAATTTCACATCGGTTTCAGTGTTATCATCTGCTCGGACAACTTTGACTTGGAAGTATCGGGAAAAATGCACCACAAAATATTGACAGAAGCTGCCTATTTTTCAAGCTGAAAACCCCCCCAATGCTACATTTAAGTTTTCATTATGTTTTATTGCTTTCGGAGCTGAGGGTGTAGTTAAGTGGCCATAGCTTTGCCATGGAAAACATGAAGGGCTGCAAAACTCTTGTTCTGTCTTCTTTCCTAGAAAATGACCATGTCATGCAGCAGGCTTTTCTGCTGAGAAGGGTAAAAGTAATACTGAATATTTAAATTCACTTCCAGGTTTTTAAAGAGTAAGAATCTTTTTCTTGTTCAAAAATTTAATTACTGAAGTTATTTTGCTATTCATCTTTTAGTAATCAGTCTAATCAAGGCTGTAAATTGCAGCCAGCCCTTTCTAAAATAATCTGGGATCACTTGCCATTTATATTTCACTGTATTAAGTATCTCTAAAGCTTTATGCCTGGCATTTTCCATGTCTGCAGTCTGTTTTAATCCTCAAACAAATCTTGTTGCTTTTGCTTTGAGTAGGCAAGAAGTGAAACTTCCTTATTTGCTCAGGATTTTTTTCAAATCACATATTTTGCTGCAGCTTTCACTTTTATTGTAATCAAAATTTTGCCCTGGGTGGGGTGGGGGGAATTAATAGTGACTGGTACTAATATTTATCACTGGGAGGTTTGGATTCAGCAAATGGAGATGGAGAAGCTGTTTATTTCAAGCAGTCTCAGGATCCTCCATGTTCTGTCCATGATGGAGCCCTGAGACTCGTCCCCATCTTCCTGCGGCTACAGGCCCATCAGCTGCTGCCGTTTTCTGTACCTCGCAAGGCGATGCCCTAAAGTGTTGGTTGTGGTGGGAGTTGTGGGGAGCAGCATTTGCAGGGCTCATCACTTCATGCGTGGCTGTGCAGTGGATGCAGCAAAAGCAGAATTTTGCTCTTGGGAAGTTCTGTTCCTCATCACCAATCTGGGAGCAGCCACCAGAGGAAATTTTTTGAGTCAAATATATATATTTTAGTGGTTTTATCTAACTGACCCCTTTATGAACCTCTTTATCCCTGGCATCTAGAACATGTTGCTTTGCTTTCTCCTTATCTCCAGAGATGAGCTTTGGCTGAATGCTTCTTCAAGCTAAAGTCTGAGTTCAAGGGACAGTTTCTGAGGTCTCCTGTGGTGTCAGAGCTCCATGAATCTCTCCAGATTGGGTCTGTAAGTGCACTTCTAGCTGGGGAAAGACTACAAGTGCTCCAGGGCCCCCTACAGTGTCTCAGCGTGGGTCTGTGGTGCAGAGCATGGCAAATTCAGGGGCCTCTCTCCTCAGTGTCCAGTTGCTGAAGTGATTCTTCAGACCTCGGGGACAGTTTAGCTCAAGTAAGTGTAAGGCTGTAATGAATGGTTGAATTTAGAGCAGTCTCTAGGATGAGGAGGAAGGAGAGTCATCTCTTCTGGATTACTTCAGTCCCTAGGTGCTTTCCAGACTGCTCGCTATGGAATCGAACACCTCCCCAGCACGTGTACTTCGATCTAGTGTATTCTGTAACACACGCAGGGACTGCATGGTGGTGGGCAACCTGCACAGCAGAATGCCCTGGTGAGGAACTGTGTGGGCTCTGTGCTGATGAACAGGGGCAGGGCCAGTCCTGTTCCTGTGGCTTTTGAGGGAGCAGCCTGCTCTCACTGTGAGGCCTCCCTAACCAGGAGGAAAAGCTTGTCCTGGTTGTGTTGCTGTAGGGAACCACATCCTTCTTTTCTCCCTGAGGGCCCTCTGGTTCTGCTTGGGAGAGGCATTAGAAGTATTGCAAGGTGTAAAGGGCAAGATGGTGGAAGCTTACCGATGGCAGAAAAGGAACTCGGTGAGCACCACCTCAAATGGCCCGTGGTTCATGTGGATTTGTGTCACGGGAAATGGTCTGCTGAGCCCCAATCTCACGCTGCATTCGTTGGCGCAAACACCTCTTGGGGTGAAGCTGCAGCTTGCAGGAGCTGCATGGGAAGGCCTGTTTCTCCTCTGAGCTCTGTTTTCAGGGGAATTGCAGAGACATTTAATCTGTCGGCCACCCCTGGTTGAAGCTAGCTTGTAGTTTGAACAGCTAGAGGGAGGACAGATTGGCGTACATGAGCACAGGCACTCACACAGTGCGTGGCTACATAAGGCTTGTTTCTCTGGGAAAGCAGCCTAAAAACTGTGACAGTTCACAGCAGGGACCCAATCTGCTGGTCAAGAGGTACCTTTCCTTAAAAGGTCACTTTTCAGGCCAGAGCTGCACTCAGGGTGAATCCTCATGGAATAGGGATGAATTCTGCTGTGTGCAAAGCGGAGCCAAGCTCTAGTTTGTGCACCTAATAGCTTGGGTAACTTAAAATACCAAAGATTGTTCCCCAATTTTCTTTCTATTGCTGACATTATTAGCTTGGTCTGCCAGGGTGAGTGTTGCATGATGTAAGACAGATTATTATTTTTTTCCTGACTACTTTACATCTGACTAATTCTGCTGAAGAAGCGGGGAAGTGTGGAACCACCTTTGCAAAGCAGTAAAAGTAAAAGCAGTGACAAAAGCATTTGTCAAGGATAAAAATAAAGCAGAGGGATGAGAGCCAAGGTTTATGGGGAGACACGCTGCTTATTTAACCAGCATCCAGCATCTCTCATTAACTTACTGTTACCTCTACCTTACCCTCCCCTTCTGTCCTGTGGCAACGTGTGAGAATAAAGAATGTTTCATCTTTGCCTTGTTTTGTCACTTGGATGATGCCTGTTCCCAGTTTTCTGCCTTGGAAGCAGTAGCATTCAGCATTTCACTGCAAAGCTGAGTTTCATTGATTTAGCAGCTGAGTTCAGGGAAGGCAGAGGATGAAAACAAGTCCTAAATTTGGACTGAACCAAAGATAGACATGTTGCTAAATGGAAAAGCAAAAACCTGGAAGTAAAGTTCTGGATCAGCATGGTATTGCATTGAAATCTGTGGTTATGCTGACTGCACCTGTTCCACTCGCTGCTGTAACGCACCCTTTTATCTTTACTTATGGCACATGCAAGTGTCCTGGCTGGGGACCTGTGGAGCGAGGTGGCAGTCACGTCTTCTGTGGTATCATCTGTTTGCACAGAAATGGGGGTTTGTGCTGCTAAATTCACTGGTGATAGAGTAACCCTGTGGGTAGGGCATTACAGAGGTTGGAGACCAAATTCTGACCTCTGAAAGAGTCTGATTTTCCCCACGTACACACTCTTTGCCAAGGGCTGTGTTGGGACACTGCTGGAGCTCTCCTTTCTCCTGCCAGCAGTGCTCAACCTTTGCAGCTTATTACAGCAACAAGTGTGTGCCTGGAGCCAGAAAATGGTAATTTCTTGCCCTTAGCAAGTCTAAGCTACACTGGCCTGCTCCAGCCAGAGGTCTGGAGAAATCCGCTTGTACACAGCTTTAGCCTGCAGAAGCCCCATAGCCTGAGAGGTGGGAGACCCTGGTTCAGTTTGAAAGTGGATTCCCACAGAACACAGGAAGAGAAGTAAGAAAGGGGTGGGGGGGTGCTGGTTCATCTCTGTTAAGAGTTCAATGTTGTTTTTCCAACAGCTCAAACGTTTTTACCAACGTCTGCTCAAATTTGTGTGTACATATGACATCCAAATATTTATTGGACCCTTTGCTGGGGCTGGGATACCTGAAGCCATGTCCTCTGCCCAGCCTGAGCACCCTGTAGTCTGCCAGCAGGGCAGAGCCAGGAGCTTCCACTTCCTCATGTCCACAGCAGTGTCTTGGAAACAAGACTGTCAGTCAGTCTTTTCAAATGAAATTAGCACAGGAGACAGCTGTGAAGATTACAGCAAACTGAACATGCAGAGTCAATGTTCACTGCTGTAACGCCCTTTCTTTAATTACCATGTGGACAAGTATATGGCTGTAGGTATCTCCAAATGTGGGTCATGCTGCCAAGGACCTCTTGTGCAGTTTTGGCCATGTCAAACTGACTGTGCTAGAGTAGGATTTTCTGGATGCCTCTCAGCCTCTTCTCTGAGTGGTGCCTGGTGCCCACCCTGGCTGCAGAGCACTCTCCAGCCTGACTCCTGGTGCAAGGGTGAAGGGCTGAGGCACGGGCAGCCTCTGCAGCAAAGATGCTCTTTGTGCAGCTTGAGAGGACCTCTGCCAGCTCTCTGGTGCTCTGATGAATGGCTTGTGCCTTTAGAAATCTGTGTACGTGCAAAAAGGATGTGGTCACCAGCAAACTTGAGCTCCCAAACCAGTTCTTCAGTTTGTAGCACAGCAAGCTGTCTGCACTTGCGTGGTGTTGTACAATTTGCTGTTGAGCCTAAAGGGTGAGTAGCCTCCTTTCCCCATGTT